CGGCCGGTGGGTTCGGACACGCACCGCCGGTCGGTCGGACACGAACGCGACTCGACGCGACAGACGCGAGCGACACCTGCGAGCGTCCGACTCCCAATCGGTCCCAGCGCCGTCGATATGCTTCGTTGGCGCGAGGGATTTCGGTGCTCGGGGACCGCCGCCGGCTGGACGGTCGCCTCCGCCATGCTCTCTGGGTCAGGACAGGGTCCGGTTTGGTCCGAGACCTTGGCTCGTGCCGTGCTCCGGGTTTGGAGGCTTCAGAAATGGACGCGGCATTATGCAGACGCCGAGTACGGCCGCCACGAGGCATCAAGACGCGGTGACCTGACGCGTTAAGAGCAGCCAAGCGTTCTCGTGAGCTGAAGCCGCTTTGAACGGCCCATTGGGCTCCGCGTGTGACCTGTCACCGGACCGCTCTGCGACCGTGGCCACGGCGTGGCGCGCGTCGTGACGAATGGCCGCCGCCTCACGCGCGGTCACGGCTGGCGACCCTGCTGAGACAGTTATCGGCACATGCGTCAGCTGGGATGAATGGCTCGCTTTAGAGAGCTGCCCCAGGAAGCGACGATGCTCAGTAATGGATCCGCTGCTGTGCGGTCCGGGCGGGCTTCGGGTGAGGGATGAAAGCTATGCATTGGTCGACAGCTGTACACGATATTCCGAATTCGTCCCACATAATGCGCAGAAGGAGCGGGGAAAGCCTGTTTGCTGACCTGGTATCCAAGACCGAGTTGGACAGCTTCGGAGCGTGGTGCCGGCACGTGGCCAGTTGCCCCCTCTCCCCCCCCCTCCCGCCCACACTGGCGGTCACCGGCACCCGGACCGCCGACGCTGACGTTCGGCTCGTTTGCAGGACGCATACACTCGGCCGTGGTGTCTGGCGTCAACAATGACGCCAAGACGGTCACCGTCGAGTGGTTCGAGAGGGGCGAAACCAAGGGCAAGGAGGTAAGACAGCGCACCGGGCGGGGCCTGGCAGAGTGCAGACCTGAACTGAGACTCAGCTCCCGCTGCATCCGTACTTGAGCCTGATTAGTGTTTCGATTCAGCATTCCGCTGGTCTCCCGGCACGTGTGCGGACACCGTCCGCCGCCGGTCGGCGTGTGTGTCGGCCACCCGTGTTGTGAAGGGCGTGAGTGGGCTGGGGCTGTTCTCGCCTTGCACGGGCGGTGGCCGGGCGTGTCGCCGCGCTCGCGTGCCGTCCATCGTGTCCGGTGTTCTGTGACGCGTCCGGCACCGCATGCGAGCTCGACCCCCCCCCCCCATGGTAGTCGAGCGCCACGCCGCTGGGGCCGACCGTTGCCGCTGCCGCCGGTGACAGGGGCGCCGCTGGAGCCGGTCTGCTCTCGAGGGGGGGGGGGGGACGGGGCGGTGTGTGGCGACCGCCGCCCCGCCGACAGATGGCCGCCGGTCGCCCAGCAGCTGCAGTCACGCCACCGCTGGGCTCGCGATGTGGACGCAAGCTCCGCCTGTCATGGTGCTGGCGCCCGAAGCTGTCCGGCGTACTGATGTAAATCAACTGACGTAAAAAAACAAAATAGAATAATGAAGGCGCGTGGGCGCTGTGGCTCCCCGGCCCGGTGCGCCCACCTGCGAGCTGCTAACCCTGCTGACCCGTCTCGACCGTGACCCTGTCGCCCTGTCGCAGATCGAGATCGAACTGATCTTCAACCTGAACCCGGACCTGGGCGCCGTCGGAGCCGCAGAGCGTGGTGCCGTCCAAGCTGAGCAGGGTGAGTGGTCGCGGAGGCGTGGGCCAAACGGAGCAGTCGGGCCGGGCGGAGCGCACGCGTGGGCGCCACTGGCCGGTGTGGGTAGTGACACGCCGCTGACGCGAGCGAACTACAGTCTCGACGCTTCAGAGGCTTATGTTTTTGGAGTGGCCTAGCAAATGACGCTTCACGCAGTTCCCGATACACGCATGGTCAAGACCATGGGAATGTGACAGCACATAGCTACATTTTGTATTTAAGCTGCGCGCGTAATGTTCTGAGCTATCCGCGGATTCCTCCCCAACATTTGTCATGATGATGTGCGTGCTCATTTTAACTGTAAAATTCTCGGCCGTTACGGTTGTGAAAGTTATGGCGCCGATGGGGTGCGTTGCTCTTGGTGCGCTGCCCACACCCTCCATGCGTGGGTTGAGGTCTGGGCGGAAGACGGTTTTTGCGGCCGTTTTGAAATAATGATGTTTCCCTATGTCCTCGACGCTAGCAGCGGGTGGTGTTAAGTGGGCCGTTTTTGTCCAGCTGTTCGCACCGAAATACCAGACGCGCAGTCGGTGGGATCAGACTAATGATCTGAGGAAAAGACAGCCGGGCAGAGGTACAGGAGGAGCAACATAGCTGGACAGGGAAACAGCCGGGAACGACACAACGGGCAGGGAAACAGCGGGGAGCAGCACAGCCGGGCAGGGAAACAGCGGAGAGTAGTGCAGCCGAGCAGAGAAACAGCGGGGAGCAGCACAGCCGGGCATGGGAACACCGAGGAGCGGCACAGCCGGGCAGGGAAACAGCGTGGAGCAGCACAGCCGTCACGCGTTTGCTGTCTCGAATACCAATACTGTCTGTCTGCAGGGATGGCAGGCATGTCCACGGACAACCTTTCCAGAGATATGCATAAACAGATAGCATTTCACACGGTTTCTCGTAAAATCAATCGGTATAGATTTCCGGAAGACAATTATTTCTACAGGCAACTCTTGCTCAGAAATGCGTGGACTATCGGTATTCCACAGTTCTGCTCAGAAACTGGGCACAGTTTGCCACAGCTCTTAATCCTTCCCTGGCGGCATATGTACACCGCAAGTTGAACTCACCGAAAATTTGCTCTGGCAAAAGACTTTGGTGCTAGAAGAACCACGCGTCAGTCGAAAGGAAGTCGATAGATGGTGATCTGGATGACGTTTGGTGCGCCGTCACTCATCAGACCACCAGAGCCCACCGGGATCGGGCAGCATGTCGCGCTATAATCTGACGTCATCAAACGCCGCCTGGCAATATCTTGCCGGTAATGCTGGTCGGTGTGACGGTCGGCCGGGGCCGCCGCGCCGCCTGTGACTCGGTCTGAGCGGCGTCCTGGCGCCAGGCCCGGCGCGTGGTCGGTGTGACGACCGGCCGGGGCCGCCGCGCCCGCCGCTCCGCCTGTGACTGTCAGACTGTCAGTCACGGCTGCCCGTCACGGCCGGCCGGCCCGTGACCGGCGCCCGGCCGGACCAGCAACAAAGCCCCGATCGCACCGGCAGGCGTCGCGCGTCGCCCAAGCCGTGCGTTCATTGACCGCCTTTCGGCGTACTGGCAGCGATGGTGTTTTCCCATCAGGATCATGTGAGCGCGGCGCCGTGTGCGGTCACGGTCGCATCAAGGCACGCAGCTGCCGTGTGTCCAAGTCAAGGCGTGTTCGAAGGACGGTGGTGCTGGGTCTGAAGCTGGGCAGGGACGGACCCATGCTAACCAGCCGGTCGTAGTGGCCGTATCCACCTGGCCGTGGCCCAGCAATGGCCCGAGCGGTCGCCAGCCTGTCGCGGCACCGGCGCCTCTCCCTTCGCTCCCTGCATCTCGACTGGCGCGGCGTGACCGGGGCTGGGCCGGCGGAGG